CTTGTGGTGATATTGTTCGAATACTAGATCAGTTCGTCGAAGTAGGACCGCGGTGCTCGGATTCTGCTTATTACCGTTGTATCCTAGGAAACAGCCGCTCGAACTGAACCTCCAGCACCTATGGTGAGGGGGCGAAATTGTCTTAAGGAAACTGTGCATACACAGACCTCGATTTGAAATCTGCTGCAATTTGTGTTTTCTTTCTACAGATTATTTTCGCATTACTATTTAATTCATGCAGTTTGTAGTTCCATAGTGTACAGCTTCCAGATTCATTGTTTATAGTTTTAGCTTGTAGTTAACTTATATTTCTGATTTTGTGTTGCTAAACATTTTTTTTTAGCCGTTGAAAAATTCTGAAACGGAGTTTTTCTTGATAAATTGAAATCGTTTGCCTTGTGGTTATTAATTTCAATAATCGACTATTACAATTGAATAAAACTTAAACAATTGGTTTCATCCACTAGCGACTTATTTTCCTACAAATTTGTTCCTGTAGCAGAACTGGTACTTGAATATATGTTGCAGGCTCAGAGGTGGAACATTCCAACCTATTTCTTGAACAAGAAAGCAGTTCTCTCACTTTCTCTTTGATTTTTCTCACTACATTATTGTCCGAAATTGGCATAAGATTTGGCGGTTTTCTAGAAGAAATGTTATGGCTTCTTAAAAACACTCTAAACGATGCCTTTGCGCTACCGTGGCACCGTCGCAGAGAACAGGAAAACGGAGACAATGTTGCCTCAGAGAAATGGAAAATAGGGACAATTTAATTGTGGTGTGTATAAAAAAGGTTTATGCCCAAAGATATGTTTAAATGTGTGGTTAATCAAGTAATTTTACTTAAGGGCCATTTAAGTAAATAAAAATGTTAATTAAAATAGTGGTCTAATTAGTAAAATATGTGGTGGTGATTACCCTTTAGATGTAGAGGCTCTATTAAAGGGCAAAACTAAGCATTCTCTCTCTCCCACTTCCTTTTTTCCTCCTAATCAATATACAATTGAGATGAAATTTGAGAGGTTGCAAAATATTTCATATCCTTTCATTTTCTTTATTTTTATTTTTTTTATAGAGGATGATATATTTATCATTTCACGAGCCTTTATTGAAAAAATGAAAGTTGTATTTCGCAAAGAAAATGTCATCTAGGGGGTATTCACAATAGAGGCAAAAGTCGGGAGGTTTTGCGCCAATTACCCAAATTTGAGTTCCAGATAGAATTTATTTAAGATGAAATTTAAACTTAGTGATCTATTTGATTAAACATAATTATCACGTAGTTTTAAAAATCATTTTTTTACGAAGATGCTCTAATATATAAACAATTCAAATTCTTTAATATACAAGTAGTGTCGAGCTCGAGCAGGAGCAACATGAGTTACTTACATATCGGCAGTTTTGGACGTTTATTCTTGAAAATTGAGAAAATGTAGCAATTGGATTTCTTTTTGGAATTTTATGGAGTGATTATATTCTTTTTTTCCGGCACCAACCATGTTGTGTACACTTTGTCGTGCATGTGCACGTGTTTCACAACATGTCACTGTATTTGACCGAACTTCTGCTTTTACTTTTTTTAAAAATTTTATTTAAAATTTATTTTAACGAACATAATTCTTCATTTGACAAAGAAATATTTGCACTTATATTTCAACTTTCTATTTATCTAACGTTTGACTTTTGAGTCATTAATAGTAAGTCTACATTAGGTTCATCGAACTAAGTCATATAGGGATTTTGATACAAAATTATAAGATATAATAGTAAATAGATACTATTAGGTGAATTAATGTAGATAGCATTATTTAGTTTTTCATTCGAAAGATAATATTTGCACTATCGATCATATAGCATGGTACAGTGGTTGGAGGTTGGATTTGACTGCCGCCCATTATAATTTAATTTTAAGAGCCTGTTTGGTATATATCAATGTAAAAATGAGAATGAAAAATATAGTTGTTATGGACCCTACACAAGAGATATAAATTTAAATTTGGTGGCTTGATGTGATGAATAACGGTCATATTTTTCATTTTAATGAAGAAAAAATGGAAAACAAATGGGGGCTAAAAAATTTAGAGCTTGTTTGGGAATGATTTTGAGAATTGATTTTTTGATCGTTAGAAGAAAAGTAGAGTTCACTTGTGAGAGAAGAAGTCAAATATAACGGTTGAAATAGTGATATAACAGTTAAAAAATCAATTTTTTGGAGCAAAAAATCATTCCCAAACAAGCTCTTATATGATTTAATATGGTGAGGTAAATATAACCTTGCTATTTTTTAGTATTTTTAATTCTTCATCTCTTAAACTTTGTAGGACTTATGTCGAAAATTTTCTGCCCGACTAACTTTCAAAAATTTAATTTAATTTAATTTTATTGAAAGTTGGGTATTCTTCTTTTAATTTAAAAAATCAAATCAAATAATAAAAAATAAATTTCAAGAAATTTTCTCCTGTATCCTAAAATCTTACACACAAGAATTTGAGCTTTAACAACATTTCTGGTTTAAACATTCATAACAATTATTTGTTCATCTTGTCATGTCTCGACATTTTTTTTTTAAGCATTGATATTATTATATTAAATCAATTTGTTAAAGATCGTTGACGAAAGAAATGGGTGAAACACAATCGAGCGTTGAAAGTTATTATCGACGATCAACGTCCGTAATATTGGGGTTTTTTTATTAATATTTAATTAAATAATATTCAAAAAATCGTACGGATTAGAATTAGAAGGATTAGCATTAGTAAGAAGTGATTAAACGTATTTTTCTTTAAAATTTCCTTCCACTTGTCCCTTAAATTAGTAAAAATAAAACAAATATAATAAAAATTAGTATTAAACTCTCGATGTAAATTTAAGCACAGAAGAGCTTTCTTTTATTTTTGTTTAAACAAGTGGCCCCCACATTGGTGTGCTTTCTTTACTTTTGTTTAAGAACATCATGATGGTTCATGCCCCTCAGTTGTCTTCGCCACTATTTGCCCAATTCAAATATGCAATAATCAATTTGTGGAGTAAAATTTTAGTAGATTTTGTTAAAAAAATAAAAATAAAAAAATGAAATGGTGGTTGAAAAATTAATAAAAATTATGAATCTCATAAAATATATAGTTAAAATTAAAATTTAATCGATTAAAAAGTTAAATTAAATTTTATCAAACAAGTACTTAACTCTTATATGGGCCCAATTTTTTCATCAAAATACATTTTTTAACACTGATTTGATCTCATTTTAACTATGCTTTTTTCAATAAAATTATATTATACATACATCCAAAAATATCCTTATTTTTTAAACATATTCTACGTCATAACACTATTAAAAAATGCATTTTTTTGGAAAGAATGGAACTCAAACAAGCCCTCGAAATGTTTATTGCAAAATTTACTCAGTAAAAAACAACAATATTTAGGTCAAAGTCAACAAAAGAAAATTATTGGAGATGGAATGATAGGTGGAAATTCGCACACATGACGAGGTTCAGCAGGACGTAAAGAGGTAACGAGTAGACGAAGAATATTTTAGAAATTTTAAAAGTATTGGTTTATTTATACAATCGAGGCTAGTTTTTTAGAATGAACCAGCAAGACAGACATATTTTTTAAATAAATTTTATATTTTCATTGACAAATTATAAGGGATAAAATATTAATGGTAAGTAGTGCATGAATTGATAAGAAGGAACCAACAGACCTAAATTTAAGGACAATAATAAAATAAAGGCTCTTTAATTAACTAATACAATGTGTCAATGGTATAATAAATATTTACAACATCAAAGCACAACAATCCAATTAATTACTCAATGAAATAGGGTTGAATATTCTAAGGTTGGTTTAGATTGTCCTGTTTAGCCCTTATTATTTAATCTCTATTATTTTGAAAATACATTTTTCTCTATTCTTTTCAGTAACATATAAAATAATATTACTCGTAAACTCCAAAATTTTCCTTATTTTTTTAGCACACATTCTATATCGCGCTTAATGAATGAAGTCATGAACTTCTTAATATTGCATTCAAAGGGGAAAAAAAGATGAGGAATAAAGTAACCCTTTCTTTCGAACAACTGGGTATATTTCGTAGACATTAGCTCATCTCATACTGGTTTTGAAGTATATATTCGTTATTATGAATAAATGATAATAATTACCACATACTTTTCAATTGTAGAATAATTGAAACAATATATTGGCCAATCGAAAAACGAGAGATTCAACATTAGTGCTTTCTCTCGCAAACTCAACTTTTTTTTCTTAAAACAAACGCTTACAGATGAAGTCATGAACTTCTTAATATTTTATTTAAAGGGGAAAAAAGATGAGGAATAAAGTAACCATTTCTTACGAAGAGCTACGAGCTCTATTTCATAGATATTAGCCCATCTCATACTGATTTTGAAGTATATATTCATTAGTACGAATAAATGACATACTTTTCAATTGTAGAGTAGTTGAAATAGTAATTGGCCAATCGAAAAACGAGAGATTCAATCAATCAATTAAGATTTTACACTCCATAAATCAGCCTCTCGTATATGGAGATCCTTCGCCCTAATTTCATGAAAATCAATGCTTATAAAGAACACAAGGAATTGATTTGAAGCGTCATTTAATTATTTTACACCAGCTTAACTGCGCGGAACTTTTATTTTTATAAGAAATTTACTATTTATACACTGATTTTTGACACTTTGGTTGTTATCAGTGTCAATTAGATGAAAAAACTGTTTGAAATTTAAATTGTTCAATAAAATAATGACGCGTGATAAAATATAAACTAAATTGTACACCATAGTGTACATGTAGCAAGGTTCATTTTATAAATCGATAGATTGTAAGTCAATCGAACTACATTCGTTGGTGATCACGCCCTCATGCTATGAGACAAATAATGAGAGTCGAGCTTGTTCGAAGCATAATGGTCTTTAGTTGCTTCTAGAAGATAACAAAATAAAGAGAAAATAGTACACTATATTATTAGATATAGTCCTTTGATGAATTTCAAATCAACAGGGTTAGCTCATTCTTGGGTTTTAATAATAAGGCTTTTGTTGTTGTTGTTGTTAGCCTCGATCTCTCTTATTGGGATTTGAAATGCGATTATTGATAGGGGTTTTTGAGGGGAGGAAGGAGATTTTCTGTAGATTAGAATAAGCTGAAGGAGGGATTTTAATTATTCGATAAGATGGAAGGACCGGCAGTACAGCCAGCCAGCCCCCGGAAAAAGATGACGAAACAATTGACAGGGAAACGAGACGATACTGCATTGCATTCTGCAGCTAGAGCAGGGAATATTGTTGCCATAAGGGAAATCATCAATGGTATTACAGAGGAAGAATTGAAAGAGATGTTATCGAAGCAAAATTCAGCCGGAGAAACAGCCTTGTATGTAGCTTCTGAATACGGATATTTTGAGTTAGTGAGGGAGATGATCGAGTTCTATGACCTTGCAGCTGCTGGAATCAAAGCGAGGAATGGCTTTGATGCACTTCACATAGCTGCCAAACAGGGGGATTTGAGTACTTATCGATACAAGATTAGATTTTTCATATGATTTTATCTGTTTATTGGTTAAGATTTGACGTAAATCTCAACTTCGTGTATTGCAGAAGTGGTGAAGGTGTTGATGGAAGCACATCCCGAGCTGTCCATGACCGTTGATGTTGCAAATACCACGGCTTTGCACACTGCAGGGACTCAAGGGCACATAGACATCGTAAATCATCTCTTGGAATCCGAAAGCAGCCTTGCCACCATAGCTAAAAGTAATGGGAAAACAGTCTTGCATTCTGCTGCAAGAAATGGGCATTCACAAGTTCTTAAGGCCCTCTTGAGTAAGGAGCCCGGGATTGCTACTCGAACTGATAAAAAGGGACAGACCGCACTTCACATGGCCGTCAAAGGACAAAATCTTGAGGTTGTAGAGGAACTAATTAAAGCAGATCCCATGTCGATTAACATGGTGGACAACAAGGGAAACACCGCATTGCATATAGCCACCCGGAAAGGGAGGACACAGGTAATTTTGTAGTCACGTCTTATTTTGTTACAATTTTGGGGAAATCTTTAACTTATGCTAATAGTTTGTTTTAACTTATGCAGATTGTGAAGATGCTGCTAGGACAGAACGAAACCGATACAAGAGTTGTTAACCGGTCTAATGAAACTGCCCTCGACACCGCAGGGAAAATGGGGAATTCTGATATCGAAGCCATCCTGAAGGAACACGGTGTTCTGAGTGCAAAGACGATAAAGCCTCAGACGACAAGTCCAGCTCGGGAGCTGAAGCAAACCGTGAGTGACATAAAGCACGAGGTCCATTACCAATTAGAACACACGCGTCAAACCAGAAAACGCGTGCAAGGTATAGCTAAACGCCTCAACAAAATGCATGCCGAGGGGCTCAACAATGCCATTAACTCGACTACTGTTGTGGCTGTACTCATCGCCACCGTTGCATTTGCAGCGATATTCACTGTTCCTGGCCAATATGTCGATGACCCTAATGATATTCCTCCGGGCCTTTCCCTTGGGGAGGCAAATATTGCTCCAAAACCTTCGTTTCAGATTTTCTTTATCTTCGACTCTGTTGCCCTGTTCATTTCTCTAGCAGTCGTGGTGGTGCAAACCTCGGTCGTGGTAATAGAAAGCAAGGCGAAGAAGCAGATGATGGCGATTATAAACAAGCTAATGTGGCTGGCTTGTGTGCTTATTTCGGTGGCATTCTTGGCATTGTCGTTTGTTGTAGTTGGAAAGCACGATAGGTGGCTGGCAATTGGAGTGACAATTATGGGAAGTACAATATTGGCAACAACAATAGGTACAATGTGTTATTGGGTAATTATGCATCGGATAGAGTCCTCGAACAAGAACTCTATGCAGGCCAGCAGAGACCGGTCCTGGTCGAAATCTTTACTTTCAGATTCGGAAGTCCTAAACAATGATTTCAAGAAAATGTATGCAATTTGAAAGCTTTTCTCAAAAAAAGGTTAAACCCTAACCTTAAGGGTCCCCCACCACCCCTCCCCTGGAGCATCGTGAGGGAGGTAAATCTGAAAGCTTTTCTCGTGCTTATGTATGAATCAGTGGCAGCAATGTCTTCTCAAGTTTTTAACATAAATGTTATTGTTAACTGCACTTTTATATCCTTTTTATTGCCAAATGATGGGGACTTCTTGTTTGGGATCGTTTGGCATTAGGATAATGTAATTACTTGAAACATGTATCTGGTTACCTAGTCATAAGTATGGCAACTGTGACAATTTTAAACTGACTTGTTACATGCACTAAAAGCAAACTCCGAAGGTCTTTCTTGAAGATGCAAAATTAATGGTAGCTTGTTATGCTCAAGTAATTTCAATCAAGTTGTCCAACTAAATGGGAAATTGTTCGACTTACGAGAAAGTTACTCTGTTATTTGGCAACAATTGCTCAAGTACAACATTATCTCTACAATCATGCTTGGTGTACACCAAATTTGACAGTTTGTCAGTAAACTATCATTTAACAACTAAAAAAAAAACAAAAACCAATTTAATTAGACAAGCCCAGGTAATAGGAAGAGATAATTAAACCACCATTGTTTGAGTTGTCCAGTAAATCCAATAATAATATTATTTGTTGAAACTTTTGAAGTAACTCCTTCAGATATATATGCTTTATGACATCTCAATATTCCATTCGACACTTGATTGGCTATCATAATTTTTTTGAAATTTTGCCTTTTCTCAAAAAGCAAATCAGGAGAAGTATTTTAAGGGTAATAAGGAGATACTTTAGAATAATTATTCTTTCTACCTCTTAATTTATTGATATGAAAATCTTTATCTTCAATAAATTGAGATTCAAGTTCGTCAATAATATTTATTTTATTAGAACTTGAGGATAACTTTGATAACTGAGTAGCTGACTCTTTGAGAACACTAGTCTCAATATTGAGATTTCCAAATTGAGGAACATTTTCATGAGGTTTAAATAGAGAGTTGATGGGTTTTTTTTTTTTCTTTTATCAACAAGTTTGGAAGGAGTAGAAGTTTTAGAATCAAAATTAATTTCAATTCTGTTGAGTTGAAAGCACATTGACTGTAGAACAATATTAGTATAAATTGTTTTGAGCTTAAATGTTTTTTATATCTTTAGCAACAACTTCAAATTCATCTAGTCATTCGGAAGATATTTTCTGGAGAGAAAAATGCAAGAATTTGAATTTTTCCCTAAAAAACAATAATTTCTTGCATATGAGGATGAGTGGTTTGGAAAATATCACCAGTAGGTGTTTTCCAAGTATTTTTTGAAGTATTTGTATTTTGAACAGATTTTTCTTTAGTGGGTTTTTTGTTAAAAGCTTTGAAATATGCCCACTCGTAAAAATATAAATCTTTTGAAAATTCATAAAATTCTTTCCAAAAAGATTCGATTTCTCCTTTGAAAAACTTTTTCAAAGTAATTTTGTAAAATTTTTGACATTAGGAGTTTGATCAGTTTTAAATTCATTTCTTCTATTTATTGTAAAAGAAATAACATTACATTGCTAATAAAGTCTTTCTGGAGAGATAGTATATCTGATAAAGTAGGAGAATTAGGTTGTTCTGATTCATCATCCTTATTAGTACTACATTGAAGTTTTGGATTATTAGGAGGAAAATCATCTCCTTTGAGAGAGGATGTTGAAAATCTAGTTGATTGAAAAGAAAATTCTTTAGATCTATCTTCAGATCTGGAAGAACATGATCTTTGATGTTGAACAATAAAGATCCTTCGAAGATCATCTTAACATGCCCATCAGGAAAAGAAATAACTTGATTTGGAGTAGTTTGAATATGAGTAGGAATTGAATTTTAAACATTCTCAAAATTCCATTCAAGTTCTCTGGATCGAAGATTTTATGATATCTTTTTAGGAATCATGGTATTAGAATAAAAATGGTTGACTTCAACAAGAAAACCATCTTCTTTTGGAAATGAGTTGAGTTGAGTATTCATAAGCTTGTGATATATTCTGCATATTACAGCAAATGCATTTTAACGATCATTAAAATCTAGATTTCTAGTTTGAATATGAAGATTTAGAGCATTAAGAATAGCTCCATCAGTAAGATTGATAGAAAATTTTGGATAATAATTTGAAAATATAGAATCACTTTGTTTTCAAATTTGAAAAGTCTCTTATCTATAAGAGCTAAAAGCATAGTAATGTCTAAACCTGGTCGAAATAATGATTTGACAGCAATTTGAACTAATCCCACGTGAAGATATTTTAATTTTTTATACGAGATTGAATAGCTTCTTTTGAAAATAAATTAATGTAAACATTTTTTTTATAGTAAGAGTTTGCTCAAGTGTTTTGATAGCATAATTTTAAGTAAAATCATACTTTCCTAATTCATATATAGAGTTTGTCTACCTTTAGAGTAGTCCAATTATAGAGTCTTTGTTCAATTTGAGCAATTTAAAATTAATGAGCATTGAAATCATTTGATACAGACAATGCTTGATCCAATTCTTCTTCATTTGAAATGTTTTTAGATCTACTACTAGATCTTCTAAACCAATATGATATTAAAGATGTAATTAAATAAATTGAAACTATAAAAACCTACCACTGTAGACACAATACTACAGGATAGACAGACTATTACCAAGTCTACAATAGGACCACCCTAACATGCCTAATTCGAGAACATAGGCTGACTAACGTCATTCAGCAGACATCCAGGTTTGAACCAGATTTTCCCTTTACAGAGTATCTAATGGAAAATTATTATATCCTCACTTTATTTGCTTATGGCTCTGATACCAATTTAGCCCAGATAATAGAAGGAGATAAAAAATAAGAGGATAGAAAGAAAATTGAAGATTTTATTTAATATTGAAATCTACAAGATTGAAAACGATAAATTGAAATAACGAGAATGAAAATGAGAAAATTGAAATTACAAGATTGAAAATGATAACGGAATGACTCAAAAAATACAAGGATTTCTTAGAACTATCTTAAAAATGTTTTTTATCCCATTAAAACACACTTGAGCTAAACCTTGTGTCTTCATCTCTTTATATAGACGGATTTCGGATTTAAAATCTTTTTGAATTAAAGAATCTTGAAGGACAATATGAAAGCAATAATATCTGTCCTTGTTTGTCGTTTGTTTGCCACTTGCACCATCTTTTTAATAATTGCTGAAAGATCCTCTTCATTAAAGTCAGTCTTCTGCTTTCGAGTGTTGGTAGTGCTAGAAGAAACAATTTTTGAGGTAGCAAACACATTTTAAATAATATATTTTTTGAATTATGAGCCCCATAGTGTATTAATTCATCCAAATAACCGGGTTAATATAGTCATTTTGAATTCTTTTGAGTCTCCTGAGCAATCAACTCATCAATATCTAGCTCGTAGCAATCATCTTCGTTGCTCTGAGCATAGTCTATTTCTGAATCTGATTAAGAGGAAGAATCTTTTGTAGATTTTGATTTCCTTGAGGAAGCTTCAGCTAAGTCGGCAATTTTCTCTGAATTAATTTTCAACTCTTCTGGAGTCTTACATTGAGTAAGCATAGCTAAAAGCTTTGATTTTTCTGAAAAGAAATCAGCGTGCTTTTCTTGATCCTTCTTAGAAACCTTTCGAACGCCAATATTTCCTTTGTTCTTGAATCCATGAATTAGTCTTATGAAATTTTTACCACCATTTTATTTTGAATCGTCATACAATATTTTTTTATACAGAAATTAGATTTTGTTCTTTGAATAATTTGAAAATCCCAACAGAAAATCCAAGATACTTTAACATTGAGGGCGAATTGGAACAAAAGAATTTCTTGAGGCTTCAAATTGTTTTTGCCTCGTTTTTGAAGTGTTTGAAGTCTTGATGAGTAAAACTGGGTAAAATTTACTCATCGAGTCCAAAATAGTCGAACCACATTTGAAACCATTTTGAAAAATTATTTGAACATGCATGGTGAAATAAAATAATGGAGGAATGAGTTACAGGCCTATAATAAGAAAAATTGAAACAAACATCTTTATGGTTAAAATAATTGAAATGAGATTCAAATGCATCATCTTTAGATAATCACATTCGTTGCTTCTCCCATGGATATTGTCCCTAGTTTTCGTAAGACAAAACCCTTTGAATATTTATTTTTGAAAAAAATTGGGAGTGAACGTGGTTCGGTTTGGACGGTTTGTACTATATTTCTAACTCAAACCATTTTATGCGGTTTGAAATTTTTTCAAACCAAACCAAACTATTTTATTTTTCAAACCAAACCAATCCAAACTATAATTTGCGGTTTGATTCGGTTTTAATCCGCTATTTATCTATCAATATTATAGTAATATATTTAACATAAGTTAACATATAAGTTTAAATGAGAACTAATAATGTTAAATGTTAAATTACATTTATATTTACTATGAAACTCATGAATAAATTATTTTCAAAACTTGTTGCTAAAAGATGTAATAAAACAATTACTTTTTTTTTTCATTTTTATTTATATTTTCTTGTTTGACATTCATATTGTCATATAGAGGTTGGTAAGTGTAGAATTACATTCTGCTATTATAATTTGGTTAAAACTCATTTCCTCTTGCTATTCTGATATTAAAAAAAGGATTGAATGAGATATTTTTGGATGTACAAAGATTAATAGAGTTTCGACTAAATGGAAATTGATGAATTTCATTCTCTAATTACTTTATGAAAGTAGAAGGTAATAATACTAGTTAAGGAACTTTAACAATTTTACACAATCAATACAGTCCGTCCTTCGTTCTTCCCAAACCACAAGCAAGTTCATTAATCGTCTAGACAAATAAACAGTTATTTTTCTATCCAAACCACAATTCACAAGAATATAATAAGTTAAAAAACAACAAATAAAAGAAAGAACAACGAAAAAATGGTTTGAATGAGAATTTGAGATTTACAGAAAGAGAAGAGAAAAAGAGGTGATTCAAGTAGAAATTAGTAGACTAACAGGTAAATGCAACTGACAATTCGTAAGATAAGCGCCAAATGTTATTGAAATGAAAGTTTATATTAGGACTTCTGAAACTTTGAACATGATTTATTGATGTAGTTTTGTTAAATTATGATTTGGATTGTTGAAAATATGTTTTTTTCTTTTCATTTCATATGATTTTGAAATAATTTTAGTTTAGTTTAAATATTGGATGAGGACATGTGTTGTGAACTTGTTAAACCATATGTCAATAATGATGAATCTAATTTACTTTCTATGATTATTTCAATAGGCTGGTTGTAATTTATATTGTTAAATTTGGTATTTTTTCTGAAAAGTGAAAACTGTAAAAATTTTAAGTTAATAAAACTAATGTTTTAATTAAAAATTTTTAAAACAGTTCGATTCGATTTTTTGCTGCTTTTGAAAATCAAAACTTAAATGAAACCATTTTAAAACGGTTTGAATCGGTTTGAGGGAAAAACCCACGGGTTCATGTGGATCCAAACCAACGGTTTCAACTCAACAGCTTCGGTTCGATTTGCGATTTCGCGATTTTCTTGTGTAGCCCTAGAAAAAAAATAGTATATATGGTTTTTGAGGATTTGGGGTGTATGTTATAATAGCAGATCTTAATTTAATGAGGATAAATTCATAATAATTCCTAGTTTTTTTTTTTATGTTTCTGGACATGAAATGGAGATTTGGAGGAAAAATATCTTGAAGGCAATCTTCGAGAGATGTATTCACCTTTGAATCTAGGGTCTATCCCAAAAAAGGACGTTGAAGAGGTTTTGTAAATAATGAAAGGTCTTTTGAATAGGAATGGCAATAAAACCTGTCCCGCTCCGAATGGCACAAAAACACCTGCTCCTAACTAGTTGGTGGGGCGGGGCATGGCAGGGCGCCCCCGTCACCGGGCTTGCCACGTCCCGAACCCGCCCCGTGAAGGAAAAAATATTAAAAATAATTTTATTTCTAGACAATTCACCCATTAAAAATTCATTTTAAATTTGTATTTTATTTTCTAATAATAACGTAACTTGAAACTTTGAAAAAAAAATTAATAATAATAATAATAATTAATTAATTAAACGGGACAAAAAGTTGCCTCATCCTCAC